TTTTGTATACACGGGCGTCCCTTTTGGCGAACATTACGTCCTTCTGGATGAAGGTAGCCACTCCTCGCGTCTTGTTCTGCTCGGGGTGCAGGGTCGGCCTGGCTACCCTGTACCCCTGTATGCCAATGCTTTTAGCAGTTTTGCTTTCTCCACATTCCTGTAGCAATATTATATGCGGCTTTTTTTTACAGGCTAGCAATAGTTGTGCTACTGCTGCTTTGCGTTTCTGAAGTGAGTTACAGTTCCACTGCCGGATCTTAATCTTGTTACGGTCAGCAGCCATTTTGGCTTGGTAGCTTGTGTGCGTCGCGGCTCGTTATTTCCGCGAGATTGCGTGCTTTGACTGGTCGGACTTTACTCTAGACGTTATGCTCGGCACGCTTGCCGTAACCGCTGGTTTGTCCGCGCTTAGCTTCTGAGAAGCACCTGCCACAGGTGGGTTGGCTGCCATCTTCTCCAGGCTCACGAGCCTCTGTCAGCTTGGTCAGTGTAAGTCTTAAATGTTTCCATAAACTTGGCAAGCGTGTTCGCCAACGTATCAATTTTGTCGTTGAGCTTAGTTGTCGTGAACTCGACATTTCTCAGTGGGGCTTCTTTTTCTATCGAGACCATCTCGATCTCCTCCGTCGTGTCGCTGTCGCTGTCTACGGTTTTGCGTTTGTGTGGGTTGTGGATCATTTGTTTTGAGCGTGTTGTCGGTGGTGCCGGTGAGCTCGACAGATTAATTCCGTGGCAGCTCTCTATTCTAGCTACTGAGGCCCGGAGCTCTTCAAGTTCCTTCTTGAAGGCCCTGTTTTCTTGTTCAAGCGCTACAATACGAGAATCGGGAGCATGCTCTGGCTGTGCCTTACCTTTGGGCTGGCTACTTGTGCTTCGTGATTCACCTGCAGCCCTGCTGGCCCAGGAGCCATTGTTCGGCTGCTGCTGCTGCGTGGCTGTTGGTCTCGTTCTCGATCGGGATCTCGATCGAGATGACAGGCGGTTGTCGGATCCCGACAAGGTCGAGGGGCGCCCTCCGGAACGAGAACAGCCTCTGGATCGAAAACGCCTTCTGGATCAGGAACGCCCTCTGGATTGGGATCTCCCCCTGGATGGAGATCGGTGATGGACGCTCGAGGCGTCCTCCCGTCCCGGCACCTGGTTGTGGCAGGGTTCCTTAAACGTGACAGATGTTGGTGCGTCTTGACGCTGTTGTGCTTGCCACTCTTGCTTTCTGCGTCTTCTTCTCCTTCTCACTATGTATGGAATGTGGAAGCGTCTTTTGCATTCGCGATCTTCGGTGGGGTGATTTCCATTGCAAAGCTTGCATTTCGGCTCGCAGTGATGCACGCCGTTTTCTTGTAGCGTTTCTCCGCAGTTGTGGCATTTCTTGCTCGTTGCGTTTGTGTGCCGGCAAACATCGGCACGATGACCGACTCCTCCGCACGTTCTGCAAACATCGACTTGTCGCTTGTAGAGCGAGCAGGGAACCATGGCGGTTCCGCATATCACTGTGCTCGGAACGCGCCACCCGTCAAAGAGGATTGCGACTACTTTGGTCTTTTTAATGCGTCTTGCCTCGATGGCAGTGGGATTTCGGTCGTGCACAATCAGGTGTTTGAGCGTTGCGTCTTCAAGGGAGAGGTCAACGTTCCTCATGACGCCCTTGCATGTATTATCGGGCGTGGCCACGTATGCGGCAACTTCGAACGAGCCTTGGTTTGTGTGCAGTTTCTGCACGTTCATGTTTGATGTAGCATTATTTTGGTACGGCGTAGAAATAACAATGATGTTTTGCATATTGTTGGGGCAGATCGTGTCCTCCCGTGCTTGTTCGTCGGTGATCTTGGCGGCTATAATGACGGCTCTCGCCAGCAGAACGAGGTCGACTCGGGCTACGTCCAATCCTCTTCTGGGTCTCATAATTACCCTGATCTGGTCCTTGGGTAGGTGGGGTAGCCTGCAAGCGGATACCACACGGTGTAGTGCCGATTGACTTTTTTAAAGCCCCTGGGGTGCTTCGGCTGGTCGCTGTGCTCGACTGTCCCAGCGGCCAGCTCCTCGTTCGGCGGAGTCGTCTGTCTTCGGCGTCCCATGGCGGTGGCCCATCCTGGTCCGTCGAAGATCTCCGTGCTTACTTCCATACCCTCCACGGTTATGGTGGAAGGCATTTTCAGTGCCTGGTTGTGGGCTGCGACGTACGGAGGTTGATCCAGTAGCTGCCGCGTCTGGCCGAGCCCTTGGCTACTTGTAGCGGCCGTACTCCTCGCCAGCCCTAGGTGTGGTTAGGGTTAGCGGGGACGCTCGCCGCGTCGCAACATTAAAGTACTAAATTATGTCGAAGAGTGCACTCACCGCCAAAAATGGCGTCTCCACTGAAACCGCAGAGCTTTGTTGTTCGAATAAGCACAAAGCCAAGTGATCTTGTAGCAAAGAAACGACCGAAAACATTTAGAAATGTGGGAGCCGACGTTTTCACGTCCGCAATCCTCGACGCCACCTTGCAGTTCCGACGCGATATTAACGTCTGCAACGTAGACATCGGGACTTCGCCTCGAGTTAGCTCAACCTGCCCGAAGTCACCTGCAAACACTAGCCTCCCGGAGCCACCAGCGTTGCAACACCGCCGACATCGCAGTCGTGCCATAACTCTCTTCGACTTCTCGCATCCGATCGTCGGGGACGAAACGCTGCCGGTCATCACACGTAGGCCTTCACCTGCTTATATCTTCGAACTTTCTCCTCCGTAGTTCTATTGTTGTTAGTTCGTGTAGCTTGTATTTGTACTCTCTCGTAAGCTGATTTATTGTTTTAGGGGCGAAGCTCCTTATGGCGTGGCTTGTGCATCCCTCGTAGTGGTACAGTCCCTTAATACCGTTCTGGTCACGAAGCTTCTCCGTCACTCTATGGGAGAGCTTGATATGGTGCCAAGAGCGGCCGCCACGTGGCTCAAGCCGTCCTAGGGGGGCCATCGCCCCGCTGCGCCCGGCGGAACGCACTGGCCGCAGCGGCATCCCGAAGGCGTTGTGTGGTGGCAGCTCGCGGTTTCTGCATCAGCGAAACGCAAACTTCATGTGCAAGTGCACCGTGCTCAAGGTGGACGGCATGAAAATTCGAATGATCAATGCCTAAGACGTGCTGTGTGACGGGTTGCAGCTCCGGATACCGAAGCAACAAAGAAAAGGCGTCGCTCTTCTGTTTCCCAAGGTAGCGCCGAACTCCGAGAGAAATCGAAGCGAGCTATACCGCGGTTGGAAGCTGGCGGTTTCAGCTTCGAAAGTAAGAACGTTCGGGTGTGCGAAAAGCATTTTGATGCTAGCGACGTTGTGAGAACCGACGAGCACATCGTAAACGGGGTGGTCGTGTCGCTTCAGCAAGAGAGACCAAGGCTTCGCACGAACGCCGTTTCAAGAATTTTTGACGGGCTCCCGGCGTACCTGACAAAGCCGAAACTGCCTTCACGGCGTGCAACTCAGAGGCAACCAGCGAAGAGGTGGCGCGAATTGTCACCGGAATGCGCAGCAGTGGAATGCCAAAATGTCAACACCGACTCGGCAGGAGAAGCCAGTGACGGTAACTCTTGAGCCGGTTTAGTCGCAGCGTTGCTTTGTTCCCTCAGTCGCATGACCCTGTGTTAGCGGCTGGTGGCATTGAGGTGCTTCTGAACAGTGTTATTGAATTGTATTACAGATGCAGCAGCCAGCAATAGCGGACACGCAGATCAGGCCTGCCAAACGGAACAGGCAGTGTGTTCGTTTCTTGAAGTGCAGGCGCTGAAGGCGCAGCTTTCGAGTACGCGGCAACGACTCGAACGGTGTCAGAAGCAGCTTGCGAAGATGAGAGTCCTGGCCAACAAAAATGCAAGACTCTTGCAAAACCTGCACAAGCTATCTACCCGCGAGAAGTTTATTTACGATCAGTGCATCATGAAGGCAAACGCGAAATCTCCGAAAGCTGCCAGGTAATCTTCAGTCGCACATAACTGCCACGAAGCTATGAATATAATTGCACATCTTTTTCGTGCCACTGTCTTGTGCATATTTTTTAAGAGCAGTGCACGCTAGCATTGCATGTCAGAGTAATCCTAAATTGCCCGCTTTGCATGATTGCACAATGCAAGCTGTCTGTTGCTCTCGTACTGGAGTACGGGTGCATGTTAATATTGAAAATGACAAGGCATTTTGAACACGGTGGTTGTGTATTGCGGTATGAGGAAAGATGGTGTGATGCATGTCGTGCATCTTCTTTTTTCTGCTTGCTGTGGTTATGCACTTGCACTGTTCACTCACCAGCCTCGGTTTACCTGAGTGCACAACGAGCCTGCACTCTCTTTAGGTACAAAAATGCATGGATTTATGACTGTCTGCTACTGAAGATTAAGTCGACAGCGGTATATACATTCCTTCACGAGAATGAGTACCTTCCCTTGCCCAACCCTCGCACCCTCTACACGTACCTGAGGAGCCTCAAGGCTGACTTTGGTTTTTACAGCAGTCTACTCCCCGTTCTCAAAGACAAGCTGCAAGTATTTCCTGAGCGAGAGCGTCGAGGTTTGGAACAATGCACAAACTTACTACTGCATTCTATGACTGCATATCTCATATGTGGTGCATGTCTAATAAGATGTATTTTTTTACAGGTGTCCTGATGTTCGATGAAATGAGCGCAAGAAAGAGTGTGCACATTAGGGAGCTAGACATGGCTCTGCTCGGAAAAGTTAACTTCGCTGAGCACACAATACCCTCGGACTGTGAGAAAGATGGTGATCACGTCCTGGTCTTTCTCTTTCGACCATTTCTTGGAGGGTGGTTGAAGACTGTTGGGACCTTTTGTTCCTCCTATGTAGCCCCTGGTTCAATAGTAGCGAAGTTGTTGCTCCAGTGCATTGTGCACCTTTCGAACGCTGGCGCTATTGTCGATGTTGTTACATGCGACAATTCAACACCAAATCGTTCAGCTTTAAAGAGCTCGAGTTAGTATCTGGGGACACGAGTTCAATTTGTCAAATTAAGAATTGAACACTACTAACTGCATTGATGTGTTCTTTTCAGGGATAAACAGTGACCAGAAACAGCTGCAAACTTCATTCCAGCATCCATGTGACCCTTCACGGACAGTGCAGGCACTAATTGATCCACCGCATGTCTTCAAATGCACAAGGAACAATCTTCAGAAGGTTGGAAAGTTTCTGGTAAGCAGCAATTCGTATCTACGTCAGGTTACTCCCTTTGCGAGGAGTGGCTTTACCTTTTTATCGCAGCTACCGGAAGGACATGAGGTCCATCACTTCCACTACTCTGCCCTGCTGGAGTACGAGGAGCAACAGGCTGGCCTTCGGGCTGTCCCGAAGCTCACAAGGGCTCACATCTCCCTGAACGCCTTCCAGAAGATGAGTGTCTGGCTTGCTGTTCACGCGAGTAACCACTCCTAGTAATTAGTAAGGCTACTTACAGGCGAACTAATGACACAAAACTTTGCTGATGATTTGTCAAAAAAGACAAATTTCAATGCAAGCTCTTTCGTTCAACAACAGTGTGCCATCATTTTCAGCTTTTCAGCGGAAGCACGGCGTCTGCAATGGAGTTTTATAGCAAGCCAGAAGGCTGCCAAAAGCTACATAACTCCGCAGGTACATACGACTTCACGAAGCAGATGAACGATCTATTTGACTGCCTCAACTCAAGAAGACTACAGGACGTGCAATACAACGAAGCCGAGCACATCGCGGTGAGCGAGTAAATCACACCCAAATATGTTTTTCTTTTATAGTGTACTCAAGGTTAATATTTCTTGCATTGCAGACTTTGAAGGCGAACATAAAGTGGCTGGAGGATTGCTGCACATACATAGAGAGCCTGCTGAAGCAGAGGCCGGTGTGCTTCCTTAGCAAACCAACTTGTGGCGCACTGAGGATAAGGCTGCACAGCACGGTGGCCCTGATTGATCGACTCTTGAAGTCTGGCTTCCGTTATGTTCTAGTTGGAAACCTCGGCCAAGACCGTTTAGAGGTAATTCAGGTATTTTTTGGCACGGTGTGTTGGTACAGATACCTTTCTTTTTCCCTGTCCAGCGCTTCTTTGGGATAGCCAGGCATGTTGCAGGAGACGGGAGCCAACCAACTGTTCAGCAGTTTTTGTTTATATACCGGATGCTGTCGGTGAACAACCTTGTGCGGCCACCTATGCGAGCTTCAGTTGACGGAAGCGGGCCACAACTGCTTCTCACTCTGCAAGGTCTTTTTTACAAGGAAACGCCCTCTACGACTCAGGTATTTTGCAATTTGTGTCCTGTATGTGTCCTGGCGTTTCCTTTTTATCACCTTGAAAATTCAGGAAGTTGTGCACATTTTAGGTGGACACACTAGCCGTTCTACTGGACGATGTCCTGCTGGAGCCAACAACAGACTGCGTGAAGGACATTGGCCCCCTTTCGACCGAAGACTCAATTTTGGATTACCTCGGCGGATATGTGGCCAAGACGTTTTCTACATTGGATTGCTTAGGCTGCATCGAAACGATGTTGAGCACAACACGTCAGCCATCTGCCTTGATCCAAACAAAATCGAGGGGCTATTTGAAAGTACCTAGCAGCCATCGTCTTGCTCTCCTGAAAATTGTTGAAGAACATGTAGAGACGTACACGGTGCAAAACATTGCATGCGGTGACGTGTATGCGAGGATTGTTGAGGGCATTTTGCTCGACAGCCGCACAGCGTCAGCAAGTGTAGGTTGTCTGTTGCACTTTTTAGGGACAACAGTTGAGGTTGTACACTTTTTTTTGAGATGTAGATTACATTTTTTCACTCGAGAAAAAAACAAAACCTTGCGGGCAACTGTGCGCAGTTCATGCCCTGCAAGTGGTGGGCGGAAGCCACAGTGTTAAGCATAATGGCTGTGTATGTGAGCACGCCTTCCCATTTGTATATAGTGTCGTATATATTGTATATATTACACTGTAATATTTTCGTACTATTCATATTTATCTGCATATAGTGTAAATAGTGTATATTCAAATACAGTTTATTTCAGGCACTGAGCTCAGGCAGAGTGCAGCTGTTAATAAAACGAAATACACATTGTACAGTAGAGTCACAGATTGTGTAACATTGCTCAGAACAGCTGCAATAGTTTCTAGTGCTTTTCTTCTCCAAAGTGTCGTTCTCAGTGTATTTTGTGTAAATAAATGTTTTCCAACTTTCTCCCCATTACATGCATCATATGTGAATCTCCCATTCATAAGTACACACCTGACTACTAGGAGGCGTATCATTAGCACCAAATTTAAGATTAATTGCATGCCTTAAATCATAACCGCCCTTCCCCCCCTCCCACCCAAAAAAATAAAAACAAATGTGTGATGAGGTACCTCGGTAGTCGCAGAGGCGGCCAAGGGGCTAGCACTGGCATCAAAAGGAACTTCCAGATTAGGCTGCTGTACTTCCGTTCCCGGAGAAATCATGGGTTGTCGGCCGGTAAATAATAATGCCCTAAACAGTAAACACAAGGAAACGTCAAGCGGCGGGTGTCCCGTGTAAACTGCGTGGAAAGAAGTGATCAATCAAATGTTGGGCACGTTTAGAGCGGTCGCGAAAGCCCTTGGCATCGAAAGTCCCCGCGTCAAAAAAGCAATCGGCGCTCACAAACGTATGTCTAAAACAACTGCGCATTTGGGTATAAACTCAATTGAAAGGTCTGGAATAAAACTTCTGGCTCAACCATTCAGTTCATTTGAATACTTGGGTAGTAGCGCGCGAGAGGCAAGCCGGATATAAACCAATGTGATTGCTCCTGTACTACCCAGTCGTGTTTCATTTCGTTCACCTTCCTCCTCCTATTAGCGGCCCTAGCAGAATATAAAGCTCACCTACCACATAAACATAATCGCCCTTTGGCCGGGCGCAAATACAAACATGTTGTCGAGCAGATCAAGCAGTAGCTGCTCGCATCAAGAGCATGGAGCATAAGCATCGTCTTTCAACACTTGCGAGCTATAGCTCGCAAGTACCGCTTCGAGGCATCGTAAGTATGCATATAATTAGGCGATGAGACAATTATTGACACAATGCGTTATCGCGCGGTGTGAGAACACTTTTAATGCGCTGCTGTTTATAAGGTGGGCCCACACTTCCAAGTAAACTACGCGTGCTTTCCAAAGTAAACAGCTCTCATTCGTCGTCGACACTGAATCCCGTTTCAACTTATTTATCCGGTGGCATTGATGCGTTCAGAGACGTTTAGAAAAAGGTAACAGGAAGAACAGCACGCAAATAATCGCGTCGAAACGTCGGCCGTAGTGCGCATACAAGCCCAGCAGTGGCGGCGGCTTGTGGCCCCCATACGACGGGTGGCGCCTCTAGCGACAGATTTTGTCCCTATATCAACCTTCGGGCGGAGCTTCCTGACCAGAAAAGCATTAAGGGACTCTGGTAGTACGTAACCACCAGTAGCACATACCCGAAATAGCGGTCCTTACGATTTTGACCTCCAATGTGGTTCCGGTGAGAGATTTCTTCTGTGTGTTGTTGAACAATAAAAGATAGTGCTCAATGCACATGTTAATGGCTGTTAAGGGGGAATGAGAGACAGGAGCATTCGGCCTTTAGGTAACGCGCACGCTTCAATCCCTATTAGCAGCTATTGGCCTGTACATTGAGCATGACCTGACAAGAAAGGGTTGCTACTTTATACTCGCTGGGTGTAACCTCCTTGGTTTTAGAAAGGTTTAGCGAGCGTTGGGCCGCATAGCTATGAATACAGTGACCTATACTTCGTTTCATACAACAGGAGCAACGCTGTGAAGGCTAGGCAAGTAGTCGGTAAAGAAAACACGAGGTGTTGCTCCGCGCGGTTTCGTAGCCGAGTGATTCTGCTTCTGGACGCCGCGACAACACAGCTGGCAAACACGCTCAGGGACCGATACCTATGCACCACCAAGGACCCCCGGACGGCCGCATACTCCTACGCAGGCAAAAAGAACACGCAGTTGGACACCCCGTTCCAGCTCCACGACCTCCAGGCGGCCTTACGCAAGATGAAGCGTGGCACTGCACCAGGGCGTGACCAGGTTATGGTCAAACTGTTGGCCAATCTTCCCGACGCAGCCTACGCCACGCTCCTCAAATACATCAATAGCATTTGGGACGCAGAAACTCCTCTCCCTCTTGAATGGAAATCAGCTCTCGTAACCTTCATCCCGAAGGCAGGTAAACCTATTGACGTGGAGAACCTTCGCCCCATCTCCCTCACGTCTTGTGTCGGCAAGCTGATGGAAACGATGGTGCGCGACAGACTCTCCGAGTTTCTAGAAACACAGCACACTTTTGCGGACACCATGTTTGGATTCCGCCCTCAGAAGTCAGCCCAGGATATACTTCTACAGCTCCACCATGACATATTAGATCCTGTTGAATGCCCCCACAATGACAAGGTAGTCCTGGCCTTGGATCTTAAAGGGGCATTCGACAACGTGAAGCATGAGGTAATCCTTGACCACCTCAGTCAGACCAACTGTGGTTATAAAATATTCAATTATGTTAGACAGTTTCTTACAGACCGACAAGCCTACATACGCATACAAGATGAGGAACATGGGCCTTACGTCATCGGCTCGAGGAGAACTCCTCAAGGCGCGGTCCTCTCTCCCCTCCTATTTAATATAGCCATGTTTCATCTTCCCCCCAAATTGGCTTCTTTACCAGGGATACATCACGCTCTTTACGCGGATGATATCACGATCTGGGCCACGCAAGGTAACCTGGGTCACATGGAGTCATGCTTGCAAGCAGCAGTGACTGTAGTCGACGACTACGCAACCTACTGCGGACTCCAGTGTGCCCCGGCTAAGTCAGAATTTGTGCACGTACGTCCCTCCCCTCAGGACACAACTCAGCTCCATATCAGTCTTCCCTCGGGACCGATCCGTGAGGCCAAGGAGATCCGCGTCCTTGGCCTCTTCATACACCACCAACGCAAGGCCGACACCACAATAGCCAAACTTCGCACGGTGGGAGACCAGGTGGGCCGTATGGTCCGCCGGGTCTCCAACAAGCGGGGCGGTTTACGAAGCAGGGATGCAATGCGGCTTGCCCATGCTTTCGTAACGAGTAGAGTACTCTACTCAACTCCCTACTTGCACCTACGCAAACACGAGGATGATCAACTCGAGGTCATCCACCGTAAAGTTATCAAGCGGGCTCTCGACCTCCCTATCACCACGTCCAACCAGAGACTTCTGGCCCTAGGCGTGGTGAATACCTACTGGGAACTTCGAGAAGCCCACCTCGTTAACCAATACACGCGCCTTGCACAGACCCATTGCGGTCGCCGCCTCTTGCACCGAATACACATCAAACACGATTACTATATTGAGGAAAGGGTGAGAGTGCCAGAACCTTGGAGACGCGCCCTCCGGATCCGACCCCTTCCCCGCAACATGTCCAAAGAAAACCACAGTGGTCGCCGCCAGGCGCGCGCGGAAGCGTTGCAGCGACATTTTGGTCAAGAGAAACACGTGTGCTACGTGGACGTTGCCGGCCCGCACCATGGGGGGTGGTATACTGCCGCAGTCATACACAACGCAAACACCGTAAACGGACTCACTTTCAAAGCCTACAGTGCAACACACGCGGAGGAGATTGCCATCGTTCTGGCTCTCACCTATCCCTCTTCTAAACATATCATCACCGACTCACGAGGGCACTGTCGGAACTATCAGCTAGGGTGGGCTTCACCGCTTGCTCAGCGCATACTGGAACCTAGCTGCCGATACGTTAATCCAACTCCGCGAAATTTGGTTTGGGCACCCGGTCACCAAGGACTCAGGGGTAACGAACAGGCCGATCAAGCCGCCCGCGCACTCTCTTCCCGGGCTATCTCCCTGTCTTTGGAAGCCTACTCGCAATCAGACAATTCGGCCCTTTCATTCAAAGATATTACCAATTACTACAAGGAGGAGCACCGGCGCTATCCAGACCCTTGTAAGGGACTGCATCGCGCTGACGAGCGCCTCCTTTTAAAACTGTTTACCAATACTGTACTGTGCCCGGCGGTGCTAAAACATTTCAATTCATCATTTGATGGCACGTGCCAGTTCTGTGGTGAGGTGGCTGACACCTTTCACATCGTCTGGGCGTGCCAGTCTAATCCATCTATTCCCCCCAAACCCAATCCCACGAGAGAGGACTGGGAGGCGGCCCTGCCCGGCTGTCAAGGCCTGAAGGCCCAAGAGGCTCTGGTTCAACGGGCGCGGGCGGCGTTGCTTGCCAATGGAGCCCCGGAATAGGGGTTCCACCTAGTGCTGTGAGGGTAGGAGGCCAATAAGGCCCCAACCCAATCACCTCTCTGTAACCATTTAATGGTTATTAAATGTTTTCACCACCACCACCTGGACGCCGGTTGGTGCAGACGCAGGATGGAAAGCTCATCCGGAGCAGCGACAGCGGCCGACGCCGGCCGCGGTACAGCGTCTCCCCTCGTTCCAAAGGACTACAGGTTTATTCTGCCTTCGTTGCCATCAGGTGAAGCGATGCGTCGAGCAGTAGCTCTACACTGCGACGTCAGCGGCCGACCGTACCGCATCGACGACTTCA